CGCGGTGAAACCGGAGATTTGATTCAAGCGATTTGCTGTCTTCCGACCGAACATGGACAGCGTTCAGTATATCAATCCGAGGACGTCGTTAACTACCAGCTTTATCAGCGACCGCTTTCCTAAAGCTGTAACGCGAATAATCAGTGAATGAGCAGAACATTTTCTATAACTGGGCATGAGTCGGGGATGTGAAGTGAAGATTTCAGTGCTATCGGTGTGGCCTCGTAGTTCATTTGGCACTATGCGCTTTATCGTGTCCGTGCGCAGGTTCGAATCCCACCGAGGCTACTAAACTACTTTTCGCAATTAGAACTGAGTAGGCATTTGTCAGTATAATTTCGGATTGACCTCCGATAATTCCAGGAAGACGAAAGGATAAACATAACTATGCGTTGGTTCATCGTCATCCAACTGAATACTAAAACTGCTCTAGTGGGGGTTTGACGTGAATCGCCATTTAGAGTCTCGGGGCACTTAAGTCGTCGATTATCATAAGTGAATAACAGGTCCTCGTGGCCATGGGGTTCACCCTTTATACAATGGTGCCTAATAAAAAAGTCTACCTGGCTCACCAAAGAAGCAGACTCACATAAAATCGATTTCAGTTACAGTCAAACCCGGGAATTCCAAAAAGTGGCCAAATTCCAGGAACTGCAACATAACGCGTTAGTCAGTAGTAGATGATATTAAACAGTATAAAAGATCGATTGAGAGTTTTGTGACAAAATAAACCGGATCGAAAAAGTATATTAATTCCGTTAATTGTTCCTAATGTTTATAATTATTTACAACGGAATTAAAATATACCGTCCTGCGTATCCTTTACGTATCGAAGAAACTGAAATCTTTTACGATGTCCTCGACTTGTACATTGCATCTGGTATTCAACTCTTTCTCAGTTTTCGCAAAACTGCCTACCTTTCTTCACGGGAATTTCTTGTCACCCAATTACAACATATTGATTCCAGAGACTACTCTTCGTTTGCAGTGTTAGACTAACCGCAGCGTTGAGTATATGGCGTCGACCATAATATAAAACTGTTTTTAGCTATAATAATCATAAAATCACTATTTCCCCATTCGATGAAAACCAGAATGAACCAGGCCGAACACAATGAGAACACGGGGCTAAAAATAGCATTCGGAGGAAATCACGTCATCTAAAATAAGTGAAATATAAGTTACGGAGCATACCCAGTATGTTGACTTCTTTCATATATTCCAAACTGATCGTTCGCAATCTATTCAAAATCTTCTGGTGAAAAATGTTCACTATTAGCGTTTGTAGACATCTATTCGTCTGTTCCTTTTGGTTATTGCCAATGTTCAAACCGATCAATACATTCGATATGACCGGTGTTGATAGACCTAAGTGACGGATTAAGTTCAACACGCAATGCCATCAAGAAATTCATGAAGTAAAAATGCATCGCTCAAACAATCAGGAGCTCGTCAGTAGTTAATAGATAATCCCCTGTGTCTCCCTTCGTGGCTGTCGGGCCAAAGTGAACTGACTGACCATTTCTAAAGACGATATCTGAACAAGCATAAATTAGCAATTAAGATTAACCCTAGTATGAGCTGGTTGGCACAGAGAAAACACACACGCCTTCAATGCGATGGGTCAGGAGTTCACATCCCGGATGGGAAGGTAGATATGCACTACTGATGGGCTCGATTAAGAGCGAAACTCGAGCCTAGCGCTTCCGAGTGTATGGTTGACTGGAAGAGCTGAGGAATGTGCCTGAAGGTGAAGTCTGGCCAGTTCTAATCAATCAATTAATCATTCCACAATACTACTCTCAAGTAATTGCAAGTTAAATGTGAATAATCAGGGGTTCGTTAGATCCAGTAACCTGTCTGATTTCATTAGTGCTCTAGCAAGGATAAGTGTGATTATCAAGTCAAGTAAGGCTTTATGCACCCAACAGGATGAACTTTCAGTTCATTCATTTACGCGGGCGCGTCCATGCGACGGCGGTTATCGGTAAAAGATCGAGTTTATCATCCACCCGTCTACGACAGAGTCCATCGATAAACCGAATGGCGATGGCTTTGGTGACCACTGTAGCAAAAATGCCCACAAGAGTACCCCAAAGAATTGCAGGAGAAACCTTTGCAGATTAAAAAGATAATTTATTTTTTAGCAAAATCATAAATCTTCGTTTGTCCCAACCGGCTTTCCTTTGGAAATCAACAAACGTGCTGTTTAAATCGATTGCACACTCAAGTAAACGACCCGAAATCTGAGTACTAACCAGGGCAATCAGCCTCTATTGGTCTAGTAACTTCTGCACTTCTCTAATTAACATAATTTTCGGCGTATTCACTAATTCACATTCATCTTCTTTGCGACGCCCAGCTTGATTCGAAACGAGTTCATTTAATGACTCAAAGGCGATTTGATGCAAACATTTAAAATAACCCACTTACTTATTCATCATAAAATTACAAACAGACGACTCCTTCAAAAGGACGTTCACCAATAGACATATAGAGAACAGTCTTCATTCAGGCCGCATTTTCCCTCTGGTGGCTGCACCATCGGCTAATTCCATGTGGGTTTGAACCCAGCTTCCATGAAAGTATAGATTAGTACGTAAGGAGGCAAAGACAGCAAAGCTTTCTTGACCAGATGCATGCCCGTGAAGATGCCCACTTCGGTTTTCGTGTTAAGCAGCTCATCTTCGAACAAAGACAAAACATAGTCCAGTAAATGCTTCCGAAACGAACATTTGAAAGACCAAAATCAGACCAGAACAGATAGTTGATAGAGAGACTCATACAAATCGAAGCGGCCATAAAAAGAAGGATTCAAAATTGTCAAAGGTAGAAAAAAGCAGTCTTAGATAAGAAACTCCAGAAGCTTATGAAAGATAGCGATGAAATTGGGAACAAGGCATGGGTTCAAAATCTGTCATCTCGGATGTTATCAATCGAAGGGGAGAACCTGCTCAGAAAAGAAATGAATTACAACCTGGGAAATGCGACAACAAAGGAGTACCTAACCGAACTGGAACATGCATTCAAATCATCTGGATTCCCAGAAGAGTTCAAGTCCGAGCTCAGACAAGTCATAGTCTCGGCTACGCACCACAAACCACCGAACGTCACCCTCTCCAAAGCAGAACATGATGTACTGAAGAAACTCCAGAAAGCAGAGAATATTATCATTCTACCGGCTGACAAAGGAAGAATGACGGTGGTTATGGACAAAGCTGATTATATTGAAAAGGCAAAACAACTATTAGAAGACACCATTACCCACCGATCCATTGATGCAGATCCAACCGCAAAACTGGTGAATAAAATCAACAAAACTCTGAACAAATTGCAAAGGATAACCAAAGAGGAACGCTGGAAAATGCGTCCAACATTGCACAATTCTACGGATTGCCAAAAGTTCACAAGGAAGGTATCCCACTTAGACCGAATGTATCCTTGCCGAGAACCCCAACATACAATTTGGCCAAAGAACTGTGGAAATACTTAAACCCTCTCATAAGTGGATCGGAACATTCCATAACTGACGCCCGACAATTTCTGGACAAACTACAGAACATCAAATTGGAGGAAGATGAAATCATGCTTTCGTTTGATGTCAAAGCGCTGTTCACTTCAATTGATTTGAATTTGGCCAAGGAAATACTGGAAAGGCTCCTTCGAGAGCAATACCCGGATAATCCAGTGAGAATTCGAACCATTTGCGAACTGATGGATTTGTGTCTATGCAGATAATTAGAATCTGACGGCAAACTCTATCAGCAACTCAAAGGAGCACCAATGGGATCACCTATATCTGGATTCCTTGCAGAAGCTGTGATGCAAGAGCTTGAAAATATTGCGATCCAACGGAAACTTTGGGTCCCCTTTATCCAATTCGTTAGAACAGAGAGAAGACAAATACTGCGAGATGTTAACATCTCATGGCAACTGGACACATCGTTGACCCACAAATGTCGTTCAAGCCGCTATTACGTAACTTGAATCCCAGGATTTTGGCGTTTAGCGAAGCGATGCTAATCAAGTTACGTAACCCAGTCCTGTGTGCACAAAAGTTCCTTACACAATCAGTCAGACAGCCATGGACTTGATTTCCCACCCCACCTTCTCTCCCGCTTCCCTGACTATTGTCCGTTTTACCACTGTAGTTATCAAAACTTGCTTGTAAAAATACCAGATTGTTTTACGCTGTAGCGACTGAAGAGATTAAAAGAAATGTTAACATCTCGCAGTAATTGTATTCTCTCTGTTCTAACTTTCGTTATCATCAAACAATCGAAGAGGCACAAACAACGATCAACAACATCTTCAACGGCATAGAGTTTACTATGGAAGAAGAAAAGGACAAGAAACTGTCATTCCTCGATGTACTGGTGAGAAGGACCGACAACGGAACACTGGAGACATCCGTGTATCGAAAACAAACCCATACGGACCAAGTACTGAACTTTCAAAGCAACCATCCAAATATTCACAAGTCATCCTGCGTACGAACTTTATTTAAGAGAGCCAGAACACATTGCAGCACATCGGAACTAAGAGAACAAGAAGAAAAGTATCTCTTCAAATTATTCCAACGAAACGGATACCTAAGAAACTTCATACGGATTATGTCGTACAGAACACAAAGAGAGCCAAATCAACGAACACAATCCGACAAGAAGATAGTACTTCCATACATCAAGAATATCTCGGAAATGGCTGCAAGAATGCTCAAACCACAAGACATTATAATTGCTCACAAGCCTACAAAAACTATGAGAAGAAACATTTCAAGGCCGAAGGGACAAGTCAAAAAGGATGAGAAGAAATGTCATCCACAAAATCGAATGCAACAATTGTGACATTGGACAAACTGGAAGAAACGTTGCAACAAGAATTCATGAACACAAACTTGCGATAAGAAGACACGACTCTCTTTCATTGATTTCCGTGCATGAGGACCAAGAAGGACATACGTTCAATCTGGGCCACTTTCACATTCTGGATCACGCGAACACAAGGCATTCAAGAGAATTCCTGGAAGCACGGCATTCATCAACAAACTCAATGAATAGACACATCGAACTGGACCCAGTTTACAATCCGCTGAGGCGCAAGGTCTCCAACTTATTCACGAAACAGAAGAGAAGTTCACCGGTTCATTGCCCACCGGCCCATGACCAGAAACCCAAATACCATGCACAAAAGAACCTTCAAATTTATTCTCAAGTACAAAAATTTCAAACTATTAACCAATGGAAAAGGTTTGGTACAACTGCTACTAAATTTAGCAGTTCTGACAGGTCAAGGTCAACTTACTAAATCTAGTAACATTGGTGCGCAAAGGTCATCTCTATAGCAACCACCAAAGGTCAAGTTACCAAATTTAGTACCGTCTTAAAGGTCAACAGGGAGAACAATTCAAACCTAGGGTAGGAATACTATAAATAAAGACAAGTACAGGGATCATTACCATTACTGACGATGTCACCTCGACTGGTGATGAAACGTTTGCGATCTAAACGCCAAGCTCAGCGAACACCAGACCCCACAAACCATCAA